TGTAATAATTCTTTAGTATATTACTTGTGTGGTGTAGAAGATAATTATTTAAAAATGTAATTATGTAAGAATGTTAACACACTGTTATAATTTTTTTAGTATATTACTTGTGTGGTGTAGAAGATAATTATCTATGTAGAGATACTGCTTGCAAACCAATGATGGTAAGATGATGTCATGGGGTAGGACTGGATAAGTCTGACTTCTTCCTACTCCATTCAAGCATGTACTAGGTATAAGCACATTGATATTGGATTAGCATTTGTTGGATATGTGTAAAATTATGTGTTGACATATCAATTGTCTTTACATGCTTGAAAGAATAAATAAATCAATAAAATAAATAAAAGATATTTACTAATAAAAGGTTTTGAATCCACTATTAGTCTCAGTTTAGTTTTATACTGCAGTAACTTTGTGTCATTCATAGTTTAAAATTCTTTGCATAGTTTAATACAGTACATGCAACCTTCCAGTATTATCATGCTGAACTTACAGGCCAGGGGTAAAGTGATTGCTGACATGAACACCATGACACTCCCCAGCACAGAGATTAGGATGTAGCTGGCGACCATGATGGCGAACACAAATGCTGTGGGATTGTGCCTCTTGAAGTTGTTGATCACAGTTCTGTACTCTCCAGCCCACACTGACCCTAAGAAAACACACGACACCACGGCCATGGCTGTGAACATCCCCACAGGGTTCAGGAACCTGCAGGGCAACAGCGGGGGGGTGGGGGGGGTCACTTCAGAAGTGCTCTTCCTGTCTGTGGTCACTGGCTCCACCTAGTGGTTAGATACGGCTTGTACAACAACATGACCATGTTTGTATAAAAATAAGGTAATAACACACAGGCTTAATCTTTGCATCTTTGTGTTTAGATTCAGTAATAGTTAGTTAACTGACTAGCCAATCAACAGAAAATGTATCTGCAGCTAATATGATGATCAATTGTTATTTTTCAGGTAAAAACAAACAAACAAACAAAAACAGAATTTAAAGGTACCACCTTGGGTCCCTGAAATTCTAATGGAAATTTTTCACTTTTCTGAAATGATATAAAACAAATGATTAGTCGCAAAAGTAATCATTAGTTGCAACCCATAAAAAAATCCTTATTTCCAAACAGGCTAAAAAAAAAAAAATCAGAAGTTCACACATGAATTTATTTATTTTTCACAAACCCAAAAATAAAATAAAACCAGCTCTGTATTACAATATATACAGTATGTTCACTGCTCAGACACCTCCTGGAGTATTTTCCATGAGCTGACACTCTTGATAAAAAAAGCTTTGTGACAAATCCTTTTTATTTACCTAAAATAGTTCATAATTGAAAATGTACTTGACAAAGCTTTCATGTATACAAACAATTTATCATCAATAATAATGATAATAATAATAATAATAATAATAAGGCAATTTCTTGTTACGTACGCTCCAAAATATTTGCTGATATAAATACATCTGTGAGAACAGTTGCACAATATTGAATTTAAATTCCACTGACACTACATAAACTATCTACCTGACATGGAAGCCATGTTTTATACCCAGAGTAGGATGTGACTGAACTGTAAACATTGCATTTCCAATATAACAGATTAGCATCCAGCGTAAAGCCTTTGATCATTTGTAAGGATGTTAGTCTCATCCTGATCAAACCTGCTCCTTGTCAGTTTGGCCTGCAGTACTGATTACCACGATAACTGAACTGCAGCTATCTTTGTGAGTCCCAAAAACAAACACACAGGTTGGCAAAAGGTTCAGATTAGTTATTCTCCTCACAGTGTATTGTGAAATGGTGAGCATGCTGGAAAACGT